TGTCGTGGTGTTATATTAATGGGCTGCGGACAAGCAGAAACGCATACACAAACACAAGAATACAAGGCAGGGAAGCGCAGTGGCAGGGCAGCTTGTTGCAGGCGGCGCCAATGGCGAAGCCAAATCGTGTAACCAATTCTTCTGTAGCCTCTGATTTCATCGACTTCTTGAACGCTTCCCCGACTGCTTTCCACGCCGTTGGTAACTTCCCTTCCGTTTCCCAATCATACATTACAAGTTTAAATTCATAATTTCTTATGTTTAAATGTTTTTTGTAATTAAGAAAGTTGGTATTTTATAGTTTTACAAGTTTGGAAGGAATCATTATTGTTTCATTAAATATCTTAAAACGTGGTTGACTGGCTGGAGGTTGGCAGCTATTTAACTTTGGACTTTAGTCCACGATGCATAATTTATTTAGTTTTAAAATTTTAAAATTATTGAACTAAATTAAAGATAAATATTAAATAATATTACGTTTATAAATTTGGATAATTATTATCTACCACTGAAATCAAATTGAAATATTATTGTTTAAAAATCTGCCGCGGAATGTTACAGAGGAGGCAAAGAAGCGGCTGGTAGTAGTGGGATATGAACAACTCTCTGAGACAGAGGATTGGAAATTAGAAGCCGGCAAGAAGTACTTCTTCACCAGAAATCATTCCGCCATCATCGCTTTCGCGATCGGTAGAAAGTAGGGTTCTCGATTTCATAATTGCAGTGGTTCCGATTTCATAATTTTCGATTTGTATGGTTACCGAATTCGAGTTTGATTCTATTTTTCTAGCATTTTTGATTGCCAATGACTTGATTACGGTCTTGTACTCTTCTTTAGATACGTTGCTGGGAATGCATTTCATATTGTTGGTGCTCATACAGATAGCCCTTGTTTGAAATTGAAGCCTATAAGCAAGGTAATCATGCATTTTCATCGAGTTTTTGCTTTTACTTTTCTTGATGGTCTTGCCACTCAAGGTACTTGAACCTTGTGCAGATTACGAAGGGTGGATTTCTGGAAGTCGGTGTTCAAATTTATGGGGGTGGGTTGTGGCACACATGGTTTGACCGGGATTTAACAGTTGCAGGAAGGGTGATTCTGAGGGAAGAGAAAAATGGTTCTGTTTCATATGTTCCTCGACTTGTTCGAATTTTGGAGCCCATATTGAGAATCCCCACATTAGCAATTCACTTGGACAGGTTTTTCTACTAAATTTAGCTTAATATTTGCCTTTTCTTGCTTCCTTGTTATGGCCTGAGGCTGAATTATACTTGGGGAAGTTTTTGCTAGCTTGCTTTATCGTTGAGTATTTCTATTCTTCTTTTTTTCCTTGTGAAAAGGGATGCAGTTGCATTTGCGGTGAACACAGAGACGCAACTTCTTCCAATTTTGGCCACGACTATTAAGGTGATTTACGGTGAAAAATCTGAGTATTTCAGTCCAATTATCAGTTCTAGCATTCACGCACGCTGTTGTTGTTGTTGAATGTGAGATCACACAGTAGTTGGAGAGGAGAACGAAACATTCTTTATAAGGGTGTGAAAACCTCTTCCTAATTGACGCGTTTTTAAAACCATGAGACTAATGGCGATACATAATGGGCCAAAGTGGACAATATCTACTAGTGGTGGACCTAGACTGTTACAAAAGGTATTAGAGCCAGACACCGAACGGTATGTCAGTGAGGACGTAGGGCCCTTAAGGAGGTGGATCGTGAGATCCCACATCGGTTGGAGAGGAGAGCGAAGCATTTCTTTTAAGGGTGTGGAAACCTCTCCCTAGTAGACGCGTTTTAAAAATTGTGAGGCTAACGACAACAAGTAACGAGCCAAAGCGGACAATATTTGTTAGTGGGGGCTTTGCATACAAATCTTTGGGCAAATACTCCGTCTACCTTTTCATCTTGTATAAGTTTATGCTTGTCTTTTCTCTCTAATAAATGAGTGTTCACAGGGGGAATTGAATAAAATTGTTTCCAAAAATGATGCCCAAAATGGTGGAGAGCATGCAGATCAGAAGTCAACTCCTACTAGCTCAAAGCATCACTTGCTTCTGTTAGAGGTAAGATAAATCAGAAAGCAAAGACTTGTGTTTGAGTTGAACACTTGAGACCAATTTAATTTGAATTTTGGTGGATTAATTTGAGAATAATGATAGAAATACAAGTTAGAGAAAGGAAGATAAGATGTTTTTACTTGTCTTATATAATAGATACTTGCGGAGCAACTTGGCTGTGAACCAGATGACATATTTGATTTTGACTTGCAAGTATGTGATGCTCAACCAAGTGCGATTGGTGGTGCCAAGAGGGAATTCATATTCTCTGGAAGGCTCGATAATTTATGCATGACATTTTGCTCTTTGAAGGTATTTGTTATGCCGGCTTGCTTAAGGGTCTGTTTAGAATGAATTTTCAAGTGCTTCAAAAAAGGATTTGAAGTGTAAAACACATGGCACATATTAGTTGCTCTTACTTTTACAGTGTGTTCTTAATTTGGTATCATTGTAACTCCTGTAAGTGGTTTCAAATCAGGCATTGATTGACAGTACATCTTCTGAAAGTAGCCTTGAGAATGAGGCTGGTATCAGAATGGTGGCCCTGTTTGACAACGAGGAGGTTGGATCTAATTCAGCCCAGGGGGCTGGGTCTCCAGCAATGCATGATGCTTTATCACGAATCACGACTTCCTTCAGCCCATTACCTTCGGTATTCAACTTCTCCTTGCTCGTTTTCCTTGTTTTTTTGTTTTGAGCCAAAATGTCAGTTGAGACTTTCATTTGTGTCCTTAGGCCTCCAAAATCGAGTTACTGATAGATGCTCGACTACTATATCATATAATTACTCTGATTTGTGTCCTTAGGCCTCCAAGACCTCATTTGATAATCATTTAAAACCTAAGTTTATAAACACTCTCTCACTTCTGAGATTCTTTGTTATGTAATCGGTGTTAGGAATAACTCCTAACAAGTCTCCAGAGTAGTATGATATTGTCCACTTTGAGCATAAGATTTCATAGTTTTGCTTTGGGCTTCCCCAAAAGACCCCATACCAATGAAGATGTATTCCTTACCTATAAATCCATGATCATTCCTTAAATTAGCCAACGTGGGACTCACTCCTAATAATCCTCAACAATCGGTTTATTTATTTTGTTATCCACTTTTGATATATGTTTTCAAAACCCAACCCAAATTTTGAAAACTAAAGAAAATATAGTTTTTGTTTATGAAACTTGACTAAGAATTCAAACAAGTTTTATTTTCAAGTTGACATATTATTGGAAATTAAACTGAACTTCTTTCATCGCTCTGGTTTGTTTACAGCTGGTTGAAAAGGCTATCCAGAAAAGTTTCCTGGTCTCTGCTGACATGGCGCATGCATTGCACCCCAATTATATGGTATGCCATCCCATTTGGTTGTGTTTTTTTCTCTTGTATCACAATCTTTAATGTGGTGATATCAAATTCCCATCTCAGGAAAAGTATGAAGAAAATCATCGGCCCAAGTTCCATGGAGGACTGGTCATCAAGATGAATGCAAATAATAAATACGCAACTAATGCAGTCACTGCAACCATATTCCGGGAGTTCGCTTTAAAACATGACCTTCCTGTCCAGGTACATTATATTTTAGCGTTAGCGTTGCTGTCTATGTCACCACGAACACGAACGTGAAAGTTTAGGGAATAAAGTTTATTAACGTAGAGTAGAATCAAAGATTTTAAGTTCTTATTGCTAATTCTTATGTTATGAAAATCATTTGGTAGTGGTAAAAGAGTATGAGTATTGCAGGATTTCGTGGTCCGCAATGACATGGCTTGTGGTACCACCATTGGCCCCATCCTTGCAAGTGGCTTAGGCATACGAACAGTTGATGTGGGAGCACCGCAGCTATCAATGCACAGTATTCGAGAAGTTTGTGGTACAGACGATGTTGATTACTCGTATCAGCATTTCAAGGCTTATTATGAAGAGTTCTCTACTCTTCCTATGATCCCAGTTGATATCTAGAACCTTGTTTCTCGCCTTTTTAGTTAATTTTCAATAATCGTGGGCATCTGCTTCCATCTAGTTTCTCTCTTTGAGAATGTTAAAATAAGGGGTGGGAATTTAAACCTGCGACCCATGATATAAAAGAGACCCAACCATGCTGCCATGGCGACTAGTTGTTAGGGGTAAGTGCTTATGTAAACTATGATCATGGTTATCTATTTCCATTACCTATGCAACTTTATTACATCAATAAAATAAGAAGCCCTAAATTATTCTATGGAAATGTGTATTATGGTATGTTTTTTTAGAACGATATACTTTCTTTGTTGTCGGGAGTGTTGATGAATTTTTAGCAGGTTGGTTAGGAACTATATTTCTTTAGACCGTTATAATTTCTTTATCATCACGAGTGATGGATTTTCAGCAGATTGATGAATTTTAAGTATACTTCATGAATAATTTATGAACGTACATTAACTTACCGGTTAAATGTTCAAATCCGTCGATGAATTGTGTGTTCATATATATTCATTCTTGTACCATTTTCGATATACTTTTCATAAATTATGTTAAAGTGAATTTGAGTTATTTTATAGCAAATGGGTACGAGAGTTCAATGTTTATTTTATTCTCCTCTTATAATAGCAAGATATGAAAAATCTAAATACGATAATATCTTTTTTATTATTTGATGGGAATAAATAAGGGAAAATAAATATTACTAGTTAATTGGGGGTTTATATAAGATATTCAAATGATACTAAGGAGTATTTAAAGTATAGAATCCATTAAATCACAATAGTATAATCACTATAAAGATATGCATAGTTTGCAAGGGTATAAATGAAATTAAAATTATTGCAGAAATTTGAGGCATTTTATAGCTGAATTATTCTTAAAAGATGACATCTGTGAAATATAAGATTAGAATAACAGTACTTGGCATAATTTCTATATTTTTTATAAACACTTTTCCTCGTATTATCCGTGGTGGGGGAGCCCAATGGTGAAATGATACGACATGTCGAATTTAACAGGCCACAAGCCCAAGTATCCGTCATCGGCGAATCTATATTCACCTTCAGCTCCTTCCTTGGAGCCAACGCAAGCTGAGACAGTGAAGTGGAGCTCAGGAGTCGAGATCTCAGACATGGCGGCAACGAATGAAGCAAAAAGTAAGAGCAATTCTGTTGTGGATGATCTTCTCCAGTTCTTAAACGCTTCGCCGACTGCTTTCCACGCCGTTGGTAACTCCTACTACTTTCTCTATTTTCTTGTTCTATTTTTATCACACGCAGAACATCCGTCTCTCCTTTTTTTTTTTCGCCAGCTGAGGAAATTCTTCTCGGAAATCTGAGATATCGTTGTTCTCTTCTTATTCGCGCCTCCTGAACTTCCTATTCGTTGTTTCTGTTATTGAAGATAAGATCATACTGATTCGAGCTTGCCGTTGTTTGCAGTGGTATTGACGTTTGGATTTGCTAACTGATGTTCCATGGAAATGTTCTTTTACTTTTTTGGATTTTTTCACGATAACCTAGCTCTTGGCTTATCATTTTTATCCAAGATATGTATATTCTTATAGTTTCTATATGTTCGGATTGCTCTAGATGAGGCAAAGAAGCGTCTGCGAAGTGTTGGATATGAACAAGTATCTGAAAGAGAGGACTGGAAATTAGAAGCTGGAAAGAAGTACTTCTTTACCAGAAACCATTCGACCATCGTTGCCTTCGCGATTGGTAAAAAGTATGGCTATCGAATTCTCTTAGTTCTGAGTTGAATGGCCTTTAGGTTCTTTGAAATATATGAAAACTATTTTCTATTTTCTATTTTCTATTTCTAATTACGAATGTAGAAATGAGGAGGGCCACATCTTATTTGGTAGAGTAATGATTAAACTTTAAAGCAGAGGAAAATTCTACCCCCAAGTCGTGCTTGATTCTATTTCTAGTCTTTTCTCCTCGCTGACTGTGATAATCTGTGTTCTTTAGATATGTTGCTGGGAATGGATTTCATATTGTTGGTGCTCATACCGACAGCCCTTGTTTAAAACTGAAGCCTGTGTCCAAGGTATCCGTTTCATTTTTATATGATACTCCCCACCATGTCTTGCCGCTCAGTACTCTTTAATCTTGTGCAGGTAACAAAGGGTGGTTATCTGGAAGTTGGCGTTCAAACATATGGGGGTGGATTGTGGCACACATGGTTTGATCGTGACTTAACAGTCGCAGGAAGGGTGATTATAAAGGAACAAAAAAATGGTTCTGTATCATATATTCATCGACTTGTTCGAGTTGAGGATCCCATAATGAGGATCCCCACACTAGCGATTCACTTGGACAGGTTTTCCTACTGAATTCACCTTGTGTTGTTTACAGGTTTAATTGTTACGGTGTGAGGCTGGCTAGTGTATAGAAAAGTTATTGTGAGCTTGCTTCGCCTGTAGTTTCTATCACTAAGTGTCTCATGTTCTATTTCTTGTAAAAGGGGCGCGGATGGATTTAAGGTCAACACACAGAGTCATCTTCTCCCAGTCTTGGCAACAAGTATTAAGGTGATTATCTAGATGTGTTCTCTTAGACTAAGCATATACCTTCTTCTTTTATATTAATTTGGTTCAACTTGTGAGCTTGACAACCATATTTGTGTAGTCTAGGTAAATGCTTCCACTTGTTGATCAAGTGTCAGGCAGTTAGAACCATGCACTGGAGTTTGTGACTCTTGGTAGAGCGAGCGATTACTTAACCAGTATCTCTTCACACCTCTAACAAACCAAGAAAGATTTAGATGCACTGGAAGTGGTTTTTGACCTTTTTTTTTTTTTTCTCTCTAGTATGAACCGTCAACCTAAACCCAATTTTATTTGACTTCGTGGAATAACCTGTGAAGTGTGATATCTTTATAATAATATTCAAGTTCAGTTTAAAAATGGTTTTTAATCTTTTTTTTATTCTTTTTTATTTTGATGTATACATAGATTTTGAACCGTTGAAAGTCAGTGTATTTTAGTCCAATAAACAAGCTGTAATTTCCGTAGGTTGTTGTTCACATTTCCCACATAGAATCGACTAGGTTTTTGGGTAAATTTAGGCTTATGTAAGTGGAGCAGTTTACCTTCAACATGCTCCTAGTTGATCCATAAAGTTTCGTCTTCTCACCCATTTCTAACAGTTTCTTTTATGCAACTTCATAGATAATTTCTGTTATTATATGGTGCACGACCTAACAGTTCTCAATAAATCAAGAAATCCTAATTGATTAGAGTTTTCTTTACTGGATGTTCAAATATATATAAGTATAAACATATAAATGTATCTATATATACATCAATTAATTGCTGCAGATACAACATTTTTATGACAGAAGATATATTTTATGTATTCATTGCTGAAATTTTGTATGAAAATCTTTGTAGCAAAAACTTCGTCTGGCTTTTCATCCTATATAAGTTTATTATCTTTCCTCCCTAATATATGAGTGCTCACAGGGGGAATTGAATAAAGTTGTTACCAAGAATGATGTACAAGACAATGGAGAGACAACAGAATCGAAGTCAAGTCCTAATAACTCAAAGCATCACTCGCTTCTATTACAGGTAGACAAAATCAGAAAGCGAAGACTTGTGTTTTGGGTTGAACAGTGAATTCTAATCTAGTTTATTAGTCTGCTCATTTGGATTTTGGTGGAATAATTTAGAAATAATGATAGAAGTACAAGTTTGAGCAAAGAAGATATGACATTTCTCGTTTCTACTTTTGCTCCATGGTCATTTTAATTTCTTTTTTCCTTGTCTTGTGCAGCTACTTGCTAATCAGCTTGGCTGTGAACCAGATGACATATGCGATTTTGAATTGCAAGCCTGTGACATGCAACCAAGTTTGGTTGGTGGTGCCCAGAAGGAATTCATTTTCTCTGGAAGGCTCGATAATTTATGCATGTCATTTTGCTCTTTGAAGGTCTGTATTATATGCCAGTGGCTTTCTTAACATACGTGGAAGGTCAACTGCCTGCTTAAATCATTTTTGGCATCCACCCCGAAACCACATTTAGTTACTCTTGATTTTGCAGATTTTTCATTTGACTATATTCTAACTTCGCCTACTTTTATTTCATTGGTCACAAATCAGGCGCTGATTGACAGTACATCTTCTCAAACAAGCCTTGAGCATGAGACTGGTGTCAGAATGGTGGCCTTGTTTGATCATGAGGAGGTTGGATCTAATTCAGCCCAGGGAGCTGGTTCTCCCGCCATGCTTAATGCTTTATCACGAATTACAAACTCCTTCAGCTCAGACTTTTCGGTACTAACTTCTCATTGTATATTTTCCTGATTATTTGTTTGAAGATGATTGTAGCAATAACTACGGTTGCATGACTTTATTTCCTAGGCCTTCAAAATCTGCACCAATAGAATTAATTTCCATGTGGGTTTATATACCGACACCATTTTATGCTTCCAACTAAAATTATCACTTGATTGATAGTTGAAGAAGTAGTTGTTCTCTCGAGATCTCTAAAAGCAATAGGGGGTGATTTCATGATAATTACTTGTCACTAACTCACTGGAGAGCTAACTTTATTTGTGGCTCTAGCTTTGTCGGTGCGTTAAAATTTTGATCTATACTGAGAACAAGCACGAGCGTTACTTGCCCTCATTTTCTTTCAGCTCAAAATGCTTTTTCTGGGTCCTTTTTTTTAATATATACCCAACGATTTAGAGGGCTTCTGAGGACTATTTCAATGAATAAGTTATAACTATTGGATTGCCATGAATGTATCTTCAGACGTTCAAACATTAGTTTACATATTACACTGTTCCTGGTTTCTATAAAAAGGGTGAGGGAAACTATGCCAACTTAAACGAATCATTCACTTCGTAATTTTTGTTACTCTGATTGAGCAGAGCGTATATTAGGATGATGCTTTTCTAACAGGAATTTGGCCGTAAATTGTCTACTCTAGGTGATCACGAGTATGACTTGATTTGTGATTCCCACCCAGTTTGACTTGAATTATGAACTTCTTTCATTGTTCTGGTTTATCTTCAGCTTATTGAGAAAGCTATCCAGAGAAGTTTCCTGGTCTCAGCTGATATGGCGCATGCATTACACCCTAATTATATGGTACTGTCATCCCGCTTTGTTGTGTATTTTCCAGAAGGTTATAATGTTTATTGTGTTAATATCAAACTTTAATTTCAGGATAAGCATGAAGAAAATCATCAGCCCAAGTTGCACGGAGGGTTGGTCATTAAGAGCAATGCAAATCAACGATACGCAACCAATGCAATCACTTCGTTCATATTCAGGGAATTGGCTGTGAATCATAACATTCCTGTTCAGGTCTGTTATGTTTCCACATTTTTTCCCTTTCATTATTGCATCAAATATTCTTAGAGTTAGGGCTCAATTATCGGAGTAGGAAGAGACGACAGACCCCCTGTTCTTTGACACTGCATTTTACGCACTTCAAGAGGAATGAAAATCAGCGCTGTGAAAAAAAAGCTTGGAAACTTTTAGGAGCCGAAATTTGCATTGCTAGCTTGTATATTTTGGACTTCATAAATTTTAAGTGTAACGTTTTACTAACTTAACAGTTGTAAATCATGCACAATCTTGCATTCTGGAAGGAATAGGATTGTTATATGAAAATCATTTCTAATGATAAAAATGGTCATCAACTCTTGCAGGATTTTGTGGTTCGTAATGACATGGCTTGTGGTTCAACCATCGGCCCCATTCTTGCAAGCGGTGTAGGTATACGAACAGTAGACGTTGGAGCACCACAGCTATCAATGCACAGTATTCGGGAAATGTGTGCTACAGATGATGTCGACCACTCATATGAGCATTTTAAGGCCTATTACGAAGAGTTCTCTAATCTTGACCAGAAGATCACAGTCGATATGTAGAATGGTATTCATCTTCTCAGGCATTTTCCAATAAACGGACTGTAGGGTGTTCTTGTGGCGGCCACCTAGTTGGCACAATGTACTCATTTATACCGTTACTAGGGTTATGTTTCTGTGTCACACTTGTCTAACGAGTTATTTGCAACAATGAGACATCAATAATATCGTATAAGATTTCCCCACGGATATTTTTGTTAACGAAGCATTGCAGAAGGCTCTATCTATGATGGTGCTTTTTCACATTTTTGGTGTTTTTGTTTTCGCAATAAATTATGAAGTTTTCTTTACAGATTCTGGAAAACATGTTTCAATTTTAAACACAAAACTAGAGATTTCTCTTTCATGATTGAAGAGAAAAACATGAGGTCAAATACTTCTCTGGTTTGGATTTTTATTATTCTTTTCAACTTTATCTTAATAAAAAAGACATGAAGCGATTCAATCCTTCATTCATGTTCCATCTACTTCCTTTTTTCAGGTAACGGGAAGAATTGTAAGACGTCAAAAAGTAATTTTCTTTAGAAGGTATTAAGAAGGAATTGGAATGTATACATCGGGGCCACCAGACCCTATCAATGTTAAGTGGGAACCATTTTGCAGCCATAGAATTCAATTTGAAAACATATATTGCCTTCTGATATGTGTGTTGCACTATATCCAAATAATGGTCTTCACTTGAAATGGAATTGATACGATTTTAGGTAGAGTTTATATTAATGAAATTAATTTTAATTTTAATTTTAGATTTATTCTCCTGTGATTCTTTTCCGATCACGAGTTTATATATATATATATATATAGTAAATCCATGGCCATGATTTAATTTACTTTGGTATACAAGCCGTGGAAGGGAACCCAGGGGAGTTGAAAGTAGGAATTGTCCCACATCGGAAACTCTCCAAGATGCGAAAACGATAGACACCTATAAATTGACCATCCAAGGCCTATTGCCAATCACGGAGCCGTGCGGTGAGCGCAGAGCGAACTATTCTTTCGCCTTTTACTAAAGAATACCGTGTGCTCGCCGCTCATAGCGGCATACGCCTATTTTTGGAGGGCTTTCCTTTCGAGGTAAGTCCTACATATCTCTAGTTTAAAAAATTTTAATTAATCGGTCTATGTCCAACATGCATTAGTTAATTAATCCCTCTATTAACCTTGTATGGTTGACAGTAGGGCCCCATCCGTATAAAGATAATATTGTCATTACCAGACATGCATTATTCTTTCGCCTTCCTGTTTTCTCTCGATGTTTAATTCATTTATTTGTTCATAGATTTTATTTATATATATTCTTATATTTATAGCTTTAGTTCGATTTATATTTTTATACAATTTAAAAATTAATAAAGCCAGACGTAATTAATTAGATTTATACTGTTTTTAAATCGCATAAACGTATTAATTATAATTTTTCAAAAAGGTGGGAGTCCAAAATTGTTTTTCCTTTTTTTATTCTTATTTTTTAAAATGTATTTTAGATATGTATACTTTTTCAAAGATGGCTGTCCAATGTCCATTGCACTTCGAGAATAGAAAAAACAAGAAACAAACAAATAGCTTTTCTCATGCAATTTGCAACCCGAATCTAACAACTTTTGGTCGCAGAATCTTATAGCTTTATCCGTTGAAATTTAAAGATGAGTGGATGACTATTTTGCTCTTCTTTAATATTATTATTTTTTTTTTTCAAATGTCAAAATGGAAAAACAAATGATCTATGGCAACTTGAGCTAAAGCAATATCTTAAAATTATTTATAAAATAGAAATTGATAAGGTCTTAAATGATACGCTCACATGTTTATTTTTTGGTCAATGTTAAATTACAAACGTAGAAGTTAAATGCCATTACCATTACTATATTATAAAATTATTATTATAAATTCTCCACAAACTTCCTATATATGAACAAATAAAACAAGGGAAAAAGTTTTTTTTTTTTTTTTTTTTTTTTTTAAGTACGCAAATTCCATATTTGATATTAATATGATATTATGAGTAGGATATGCATATGATTGTGTGGAAGTACATTCTGTGTTCCAAATTGTATCCCTTCCACACAATAAAGTATGGAAATTTATTTGATTTCCCTAAAAGTAGAGATAAAAAAAGATCCAAAAGTTAGAGAATCATATATTGTTCACGATATATGGTCAAACTAACCATAAATTTAAATTCTAAAAATTGAATGGAAATTGATAGAACGTATCTGAACGCATCACTTTTAGACAAAGTGAATCATTTTTTTTAATTGAATGGAAATTGATAGAACGTATCTGAACGCATCACTTTTAGACAAAGTGAATCATTTTTTTTTAAATTTATTTCAAATATGGAACAAATAATAAATAGTATTAATGGATTCCCTCACCAATTAAACTCCACCAGACACTGAAAGCGAGAGTAGTGATTTCATATTTATTTTTTTATTTATAGCTTTCCAAATTATGGTCAACTTTGGCACAATAAATATTATTAGCCAATGGTAGAAAGAGATGGTGGGCAATGATTCTGTCCGACTCAGCACTGCATTTCATGCAATGGTCCATAGCCATACCCCAACAAATAACACTTTTATTTATTTATTTATTTTTTAAAATTTTAATTGGCAATTACGTGCATTCCTCCTCCTCCGGACTTGTAACTAAACGATGGAGTCTAAGTTTTGCTTTGGAAAATACCATACAGAAGTTGAAACGTCTTCTTATTTTCAGGGCGGCGGGAGAAGAGAAGTAATAAACATTGACTACGAACCAAAACACTAAGACCCCTTTCTTATTCTCCATCACTCAAAGCATTAAAGCAACCAACTCTTTCACTTTGCTTCTTACATTCCTTGTTCAAGCATTGCTCGGACTCTGGTTGGCAGCCCGTACAGATGGATGAATCCAGCAGCATCAGCTTGGTTGTACACATCCCCGTTTTCAAACGACGATATGTCTTGCCTGTACAGGCTGTTCGGGCTTTCGCGCCTGGCCACGGCCACGGAGCCTTTGTACAGTTTGAGTGTGACCGTTCCTGTGCTTGTTGCAGTTATCTTCTCCATGAAACCGTCCATGGCTTTCCGGAGTGGGTCGAACCATCGCCCTGCATACACCAGCTCCGCGTACTTGAGGGCCAGTGAGTCCTTGACTTGAATTGTCTCGCGGTCGAGTGTCAAGGACTCCAGTTCACGCGCAGCTGTGAATAGGATGGTCCCTCCTGGGGTTTCGTATACACCACGGCTCTTCATGCCAACGAGACGATTTTCGACCATGTCGACTCGGCCAATGCCATGTTTCCCACCGATCTTGTTGAGCTCGTCGAGAAGGGAAGCTGGTGACAGCTTTTTCCCGTTAACAGCAACAGGGAGTCCTGAGACAAAACTGATCTCCACATATCTGCAGTAAACAACCATCACAAACATTAGAATTCAGTTGCATAGAGGAATTGAGTCAAGAAAAACAGAGGAAATTTACTCAGGTTGGTTCGGTGCATCCTCGGGATCGACGGACATCATGAACATGTCCTTCTTTGGCTCATTAGCAGGATCTTCCAAAATATCACCCTTCAATCACATGAATACACATAGAAATGAATACAACAGACAAGTCTCAAAGCCAAAAAGCCACAAGTCAGGCTGGCAGCATACTGTCAAACCTCATGCCCACCACTTGTTCAAGCCAAAAAAGAAAATGATCACAAACATACAATACAGTTCAGCATCTAAATGACAACCAAATTCAATATATACGGTAAGGAATAATATACTTTTAACAAGTAAAACCAACCGGCTGCCATTACCTCATGACTAAGGTGCCAAATATTCCGGTCCCGACTGTATATCGATTTCTTCGTGACAGGGACGGGCACGTTGTGCTTCTTCGCATACTCAATGGCATCTTCTCTTCCTGTAATGTCCCATTCTCTCCAGGGAGCTATAACCCGAAGTTTGGGGTGCAGAGCAAAGAACGTGAGTTCAAATCGTACCTGCACCCAATAAAAAATATGAGATTCTCCTTAAGAATATTCAAAGAAAAAAACTATGGCAATCAGGCAGACCTGATCATTTCCTTTCCCTGTGCAACCATGAGCAACGGCATCGGCGCCAACTTCTCTGGCGACATCCACCATGGCCTGCAAAATGTATCTCCATAACCTCCATTATTAACTTTCAAAGCAGACGAAAAAGACGAACCAAATCAAATACATGTAAAGAAAGCAGGAATCTCTTTTCTTAGCAGACCACTAGAAGAAAAAAACTGGCCGACCCATCAAAAAGTGCTTGTAAATTTTATGAACTATTGGCTTTCGTACAACTGAAAGTGCTTCCAGCAGAGGAGATCAAGTGGGATCTAACCTTGGCGATGACAGGGCGGGCCATGGAAGTTCCAAGCAAGTATTTCCTCTCATAAATGGCACCAGCGCGCAAGCAAGGAAACACATATTCTTCTACAAATTCCTCCCTCAGGTCTTTCACAACTAGTTGACAGGCACCACTTGCTTTCGCTTTTGCCTCCAAACCATCCAATTCCATCACTCCCTGCATATCTCACATTCGTAATAAGCCAACAAAATGGAATCAAATATCCAAATCTACGGAAAACATAAACTAATGATCCAGCCATGGATACAGATAACTCAAAACGTACTTGCCCAACATCAGCAGTGAAGCAAACCACCTCACACCCATAGTTCTCCCTGAAGGGAAACAGAGAATAATGTCAAAATAACACAATACCGCCATTAACGATTTCAAAACTGGGAAGAGGAACTACATCTATATGCATGCAGGTGAAGTCGAAGAACTTGATAGCCGCCATCAAATATTTGGCTGTGAAGAGAAAAAAAGAAAAGAAAAGCCACCCACCTCAACCACGGTACGATAACAGAAGTGTCCAAGCCACCGCTATACGCTAAGACAACTTTGTTCAATTTAGCGGGCGCCACACCGATGTTACACATAGCGTGAGCTTCTCCCATCTCTCTAATAACGTCTTAAATTACTGCAATTGCAAGGAAAAACAGCGATTTATGGTTCTGTCGATTCAAAATACGATTAAAGTGCACCATGATCAAATCAAAACGACAAAACCGAGTTAGTGAAGCAGAACAGAATCGTCTTGGAATGTAAAAACGATTCTAATTTCTCTGGACTAAGCGCGGGAAAGTCGGCGAAAGATTATCAAGTAGAGAGAAAATAAAGGAAAGCAAAATGAAATTCGAAGACGAAAGCAACGTGGGGAAATTGTTAAAATGGAACGCAAAAATTAACAAAGTCAGAAGCATTTGCATACCGAATAAGAATGGCAGAGAAATGAAAATCGCTTGATGGGGGTGAAAGCAGCAAGCAAGCTTGGGAGAAACTCGAGTCGGGAATCTCGCTCAAGCAACTTACAATCTCAAGGGTTACCGGCTGCATGAGGGCCTTTTATGGACGAAAAAACTCCCCCTTTTTTTTTAAAAAAAAAAAAAAATTCAAAAACTAAAAATAAATAATTTTTACATAAATCGACATAATTTATTATCCATAAAAAAAAAAAAAAGGAAAATTAATACAAGTAGGAGCACTATAATCCATAAAATAAAAAAAAATAAAAAAAGTAATTGGGAACTGAAAATAAATAAAGAAAATTTTAAAAGAATTAAAAAAAAAATTACTCTCGTTAAATTCAAAGGAATCTTGGAAAAAGGAAATCCCGGTAAAAACGTATATCACGTGACGCATCCCAACGATAAAAATGTACTTTTATCTCATTGGAAGTAACATTATTTTTCTTTTTCGTATATAAATTAATTATTCCTGCTCGAATTTTCAAAATATACATTTTTGGAATAGACGTGGAATAAGAATCTTATTAGAATAAGAAGGTCCAATCATAAATATTTAAAGATTATGGACTTTGTTTTAAATATTCTTCGTTTGTGGTTATTAATCTAAACGTTTAAATTTTGAACCTATTTTGTATGGGTCGAGGTGACACAAATATTATATTTGCACGAGTCAACCATGTCCCAAAACATGAGTTAGATGCTAAAAGTAAAAGCATTACATTAACTAGTCAATATAGTTAAAGTCGAAGGTGTTAGATGATGAAAGTCCAACATCAGTAATTTAGGGAATCATCGTGGGTTTATAATCAAATAATACACTCTCCATTGATATGAAACCCAAAGCAAATCTATGAGACTTTAGGTTCAAAGTGGATAATATCATACCATTGTGGAGAGTAGTGTTCGTCTAACCGAAGGTAGTGATTCAGTACCAATATATATATTTTATGTATCTTTGACTTTAAAAAAAATTAAAACATGCGTAAAACAAGGAGAAATTGCATAAACTACTTGAAATTAGCTATAATAATTTTCGTTTTTTAAGGTACTGCCGATATGAAAAAATATTTTTAAAATATTTAATAAAATTATTTTATTTAGGGACCAAAGGAATAAATTAGACATTTTTATGTCCGACACTAAGCAACAATTTTTATAATTAAAACTATGTTTAAATTCAATATTTATTTATTTAATATATGACTAGACGTTAAACTAAGCACTCTTAGAAAATTAATTTCTTAGTTTTATGATCTCAAACTAAAATTAATTTTATAATGTGTGTTGGGCTTTTAGACTTTTGACAATGACAGCTATAACCTACGCAACAGAAACAAGGCGCACGTGCGAAAGTTTTTTTTTCGCTCGTGCGAACTCGTCCTCTATCCGAAAATGACAAGCCCGATATCCGTGAGAGTCGAAGAAAAGTCTTTAGCCCGCTATCTACCTCCTCCATTTCCCGCTCCGAGGCTCTGCAGCTACCATTTCGAGTTCACTCCGGAACCTCCCTAGCATATGCAATTGGAATTTTTGGGCGGTTCTTCCGTCCTCAGGTCGCCACATTTAGGTCCTTACAGGCACACGATGGCAGCCTTTGGTGCTCTTTCACTATGTCCTTGCAGCCCTCTGCCACGCCCACGTACCATTTATTGTTGCAGTGGTACTCCTAAAGTTTTAGGTACATTTTTTTTTTTTTTTTAAATTGAATTACAGATACTGCTGCTAGTTGCTATGCTCAGCTCCTGTTCACGAGAAGGTTGCAGAAAGAAGTTAGAAGATAGACTTATTATCGCTTATAGAACTGACCTCATGGAGTTTTGGCAAGTTTTAGAGCTAAGCTTAACGATATTGTCCGGGTTATTTTTACTACGTCTTGAAACATGCTAACTGGTTTACTGGACTTGGAAGGTAGTTTCTGGCATTTAAGTTATTTGAGTCATGTGGATAATATTGAGGATTATTGGGAGTGAGTCCCACGTTGATTAATTTAGTGGAAGATGATGAGTTTATAAGTTTGGAATACTATCTCCATTTGGTTTGATGTTGTGAGATCTCACATCGGTTGGGGAGGTGAATGAAACATTTTTTTTATAAGTGTGTGGAAACCTCTTCCTAGCAGACACGTTTTAAAAACCTTGAGGGGAAGCCCGAAAGGAAAATTCCAAACAGTACAATATTTGCTAGCAGTGGGCTTGAGCTGTTACAAATTGTATAGAGCCAGGCACCGGGCGATGTGCCAACGAGGAGGCTGAGCCTCAAAGGGGGTGAACACGAGGCAATGTGCTAGCAAGGAGGTTGCGCCCCGAATGAGGTGGATTGTGAGATCCCACACCGGTTGGAGAGGAGAACGAAACATTTTTTATAAGGGGGTGGAAACCTCTCTCTAGCAAACGTGTTTTAAAAACCTCAAGGGAACTCCAAAAGGGAAAGTTCAAAGAGGATAATATCGGCTAGCTGTGAGCTTGTACTGTGAGCTTGTACTGTTACAGATGTTCTCGGTTACATTGAACAATCATACCAATTTTAGTGCCATTCTCTCTCTCTCTCTTGTGACGGTTGTCATAGTCAACCATGTTAAAACTTCTAGGAACTCTTCTCCATTGTCAATGTACTTTTTTTTTTTTTTTTCCTTTCTGAAATTGTGAAATTCCATTTTAATGTTGCATTTATTTAGGCAATAATGTCTCTAGAGTACCCCGCAAAAGACCGGGAAGATTAGAAGGTGCTAGAAAAAGCATGGAAGATTCTGTTAAACGCAAGATGGAACAGTTTTATGAAGGTTCAGATGGTCCGCCCCTCCGTGTTCTTCCAATTGGCGGCCTTGGTGAAATTGGGATGAATTGTATGCTTGTTGGGAATTATGACCGTTACATTCTGATTGATGCTGGTGTCATGTTTCCTGAGTAAGTTTCTATTTTTTGTGAATCTCTAGCAACCATAAATTGTGCTACTCAAGAATTGGATTAAATCTTCCAGTAAATGTAATTTTACATCTTAACCCATTTGATTTTTGTTTGATCCTACTGGAAGTGTTTGGCATGCTTTCTTACACTGTAGTGTTGTGCCTAAATGTGTGTCATCTTTGTACAGCCACGATGAGCTTGGTGTTCAGAAAATTATACCCGATACCACATTCATCAGAAGATGGAGTCACAAAATTGAAGCTGTTGTTATTACACATGGTCATGAAGATCACACTGGTGCGTTGCCATGGGTAAAGTTTCTTTCTAATTCCTAAGACATACTATGTTTTCCCCTAAATACCAGATATTCTTTATTTCTCAGGTTTTTATGATTGGCATCTTTATAACACATTATTATGGAAATTTGGTTGGAGAGATTATAGGATTTCCAAGGATAAAGCTAATAATTAAATGTCATCCTGTTTCTTAACAAATTGTTTTTTCAATGATAAAGCCAGATATTGGGAGGAGGTGGTAGAAAAGTAACCACTTTCATCTACTCTTTGGATACTATCTATTGTAATTAATACTGGCAATAATGTTTATAATTAACATCAAAAGGAAATAATTTCCATGCATACACGCATGACAAAACAATTTGTCTTAGATACTGGTATACATTGCCATAAACTATTATTTCTTTATGTAATATTGTTTGTGTGTTCTATGAACCTTTAGAATTATGGTTTTAACTTCTTTATTGTACATTGAGACGAATAAACGTTTCTGCAATTCTCAGAGAATAAGTTCAAGCCACTCAGAATGTCTTTATACCGGAATTTTGGTTAAACTGTAATTCTGTCCCTTGTATTTCACCACTTTTATTTTCCTATAGAGCTATATCAGGGACTAAATTCATGCATTTATGGAAGTAAAGAACTAAAAAGAAATAAATGGACGCATAGGGACCATTACCCTAAAAATTGTAAAATTTAACTTTTAACTTTACATCTACATGCTCTTTGTGAGATAGTTTTTTGATCTTAACTTTCTTTATGTTATTATATATTTTTTGTTTTTCACATGCTTCAGTCCTGCCTGATCAGGTAATTCCAGCTTTGGATTCCCATACACCAAGTTACGCTTCATCCTTTACAGTGGAGGTATATCACTACCTCAGCATATTGAAATTTTCTTATCATTCTTAAGTGATATGGAAATCAACCCAAGGGAAAGTATGGAACGGATTCCCTTGATGATCAAGATCAAGAGTAAAGAAAACTCGTTTCTAAACTCGTGATTCGAATCATTCCACAAGAGGTTTGATCAATACCACTTGAATGACTCTACATGTAAGTTCTAAACACAAGAATTTGCAAAGAAAGTTTAGCTCTCAACAAAGCTAAAATAGAAATTCTATTCTTAATTCCAAAATCTGATGTCTAATCAAAGAAAAAAAGGTTTTATATAGCTTTTACAACTTTAACCTATGTGATACGTAACTCCCAAATTAAATGGGCTAGTAAATGAGAAATACCCATAACCTCCATATTAAAATGGTTTGTAACCTATGTGAGTTACAATATAACCTAAACTCCTATATTTAAAACTAGTTTAAATATGACAAACAAATAGTTAAATTATAATTAAATAATGTAATTAATAAGATGTGCTTATTAGTCACCTTTGACTAGTTTCATAAATTCAGCGGAGTTTATTAAATGCAACTTAAAGTGCATTTAATTCATCTCTTTCTTGAAGCTCAACTTTGCATAACATATAACGGAGGTCTCCAACGTCTTTTAGAATTTCATTTGATAAGCTCACCATAGCTTGAATATAATTGTATAAGGTTTCTTGGCTCTCGTCCTTGTAATTGGACCTTGAGGTATGGAAATTCCTTGGTCGTGGTTCATATCACTAAGTATTTGCGTTTTTAACATCAAATGCAACTCTTCTTATGTACCTTTGTCAGTCAATCATCCTGTTGAATTTTGATATTACTTGTCAATTGAAATTATTGACCTCACGCTGCATATTTAGTTTTTAAATTATTACACTCCTACTAGGAAATGGGACATTGTACAATAGTAATGATCTTAAACTAAAATGTAAAGATCAAGAGTTCAATCCTGTTTTATCTCTAGTTATTTCATCAACGTGGTGCTTGCTTGTCATTTGTGGCATGACTGTTCTTCCTTGGCAGCTAATAAAAAAGCGTCTGAAGGAAAATGGGATTTTTGCTCCTTCTAGACTTGGGGTGTTTAAGATGAGAAAGAGATTCACAGCTGGGCCATTTGAAATAGAGCCAATTAGGGTTACCCATTCCATTCCTGATTGCTGTGGATTGGTTCTTCGATGTGCTGATGGTACAATTCTTCATACTGAGACTGGAAGGTAAGACTGTTGGATGCAGTATCTCATTGTTGTTTGTTTCTTTTACGACTGCTTGAGGAGATGATATCTTGCAGATTGATGAGTCCCCATTGGATGGTAAAGTCTTTGATCGAGAAACTTTGGAAGAATTATCAAAAGAAGGAGTTACTCTTGTAAGCCAATTCTTGTCCCCGTCCAGTATATATAAAATTTAAACCTCTGGCCACAAAATGTTTACCGAAACTTTTGATTCATGCATATTTTTGTGACTTCAGCTAGTTTCAAGGCCATCTAATTTATGCCTAGGAGAAATGGGCCTTTTTTTTTTTTTGAAAATTTGGTTTGTTGTTAGCAGGAATTAACTTGTTACTTGGCATGCAACGAACACGGTCGAAATATGAAACTTTGTAAATATATGTGAATTACTTTTCAGATGATGAGTAACTCAACAAATGTACTATCTCCTGGAAGGACGATTAGTGAGTCTGTGGTGGCAGATGCTCTTTTAAGACGTATCTCTGCAGCTAAAGGAAGGGTCATCACGACTCAATTTGCTTCAAATATACACCGCCTTGGAAGTGTGAAAGCAGCCGCTGATTTAACTGGTAGAAAGTTGGTGAGTTTTTCATAGTTAGATTCCTTTATTCTCTTATGATTTTCCTTACATAAAAATAAATTGCTTCTCACGGTGGCATTTATGTCTTCTTTTGCAAATTTTTATGATTATTAGGTATTTGTTGAGATGTCTTTAAGGACATATCTGGAGGCAGCCTGGAAGGATGGAAAGGCACCAATTGACCCATCGACCTTGGTAATCATTTATAAATTTTATTTTCACCCTGATATGTTCTCTATTTTAAAATTCAATTTGACATTTAGTTTTTCCTTGACAAGTGACCTTATTGATATTCGACTATCGACAGAAATGAAATCTTAGAAAAAACCCTTTTAACTTTTTTGAAATAGAAACAATTTTTTTTCAATGAAATAATGAAAAGAGACTAAGGCTCTAAAGATACAAAACTTCGTAGAGGGGTGAAAAGAAACAACTAAGAATGATATAAATAACAATCCAAATAGTACTACATCCTCTTCAACAAAGAGCCTAAAATAATTATCCAATCAAAACATCAAAATAGAAGCCAAGAACGTTGAACTCCAAGCAAAAGAGATTGACAGAAGAAGGAAGGGATTTTACAACTAAGAAAAACCCTTTATGCACATTTGATCTGAAGTTAGATTTCAGAAAAAAGGGAAGAGATATGACAATTGAGAACCAACTCAAATATGCCCAACAACATAAAACTCAAATATGCCCATGGTTGCAAGTTGAATCATGATGTCACATGATCTAAGGTGGGATCGCAACAGTTTGTACCTTTGTATATTTATTTGATAATTGGAAGTCTTTTTTTTTCCTCTTAGAAAGAGTCTTGCATATTGATCCATGGGAATGTGTTTTTTCTCACGTGATGTTGTGACATAAAGACCATTGATGTTTATGCATTTATTGATCGAGTCTATTCAAGGGAGTGGTGGCTTTGGAAGATATTCTGAAGATGCTCCTTTTAAATAAAAATGTGAAGTTCTACAGGTCACAGGAGAATTTGCCATTATGTGGGAAATATGGTTAAAGAGAAATAAGTAAATCTTTGAAGTTTAAAGCCTTCACGTGCGTAATACCTTGACAGATCTGAATTTTAGCTTCTTTTATCTTTCAGTTGTTAAAGATTTAGACATTGACGTGTCTTTCTGTAATCCATGTTTTTGTTGTGCCTTGGTATGCTCCACTGCCTTGGACTGGTTTATCTTAATGAAAGCCAGTTTCTTATTTAACATAAGGGGCTTCAAACATAATCCTCATTGCCATTAGATGGTCTTTAAGGAGTATAACTGTGATATTACAATTTATGAAGTTTTATGAATCTGTGATTAAAGAATTACTGCTGAGTATAAGCAAACAGCTATTATTCATAATGGCCATGCTTCTTCTTAATGTTCGGAAGTGGTGCACATTACTATTATTGTTGGCTTATTACTAATGCTTACTATGGAATATTTTTCATGAATTTTACTGGACTCTGAGTTGTAACGCTGGTTTTGAATTCCTAGGAGAACATGAAATCATGTATGGGCATGCATGTAGAATCATGCTTTCAGCTGTTATTCTTAACTATTCCACATATTTTATAGGTTTTAAGTGTGCGTATTCATCTAATTGTAACAATTCTCATCCTACAACTGATAAGGTAAAAGTGGAGGACATTGAAGCTTATGCACCAAAAGATTTATTGATTGTCACAACTGGCTCACAAGTAAGTTTGCCTACATGCCTATAGGAATTGGTGGTTTAATGGATTTAATACTTTAGTCACATCGATTTAGCAGTATCATTGTGCATGCTACTGTGTCAGGCAGAACGACATGCTGCCCTAAATCTTGCATCTCATGGAAGTAGTCACTCTCTCAAACTGAGCAAGGAAGATATGATTTTGTATTCGGCCAAGGTAATAAAACAAGATTTTATTTATTCATACCAATTATCAAATAATCTTTATGTGATTCAAATTTATAGTTATATTTTTTGTGTCATAAACTCATATATTCAACCCATAATGTCAAGTTGTCTCATCAGTTTTTTTGGATTTACAAAGATTTTAGTAATTGCTATTCCTCTCTAGCCTATTGACGTATCCTTTGTTTATTTTGTGATCACCTAACATTAATACAGAACTACAAGGAATCTTTATTTGCAAGTCTTATGATGAACCATTGATGTTTTTCAGGCAATGTATTGTATAATAGTTCTTTTCCCTATTCTCATGCGACAGGTTATTCCTGGTAATGAATCTAGAGTGATGAAAATGTTGAACCGTATATCAGAGATTGGATCAAATATAATCATGGGCAAGAATGAGTTGCTGCACACATCTGGTCATGCATATCGTGGGGAATTGGTTAGTTTCCATTATAATTGCATCCTAATATGTCAGTTTTAAATCTCTTTTGGGACTTTGGACTTATGATTATCTCAGCCTTCTTGCTTTGAACTACAGATTCCCCTGACTCCTATCTCGGTTTGTAGATGTATGCCTTTAGGCATATTTGGAAATGATTTTGAAAGGATTAAAATTACTTTTTTCGTATTCAATATCACTTGAAGTGTTTTTAATTCTGAAAATCAATTCTTATGGAAGGAAAATTATGTGTAGTAAACACTGAGTTTATTTTGAATGATTAAAGATATGTTTTGGATAAGAGTAGTTTTGAACATGAAGAAAGTGATTTTGACCCTTTCAAAACCACTCTCATTAGATTTGTGGAATGTCTTGGTATAGATGATTAGATTTTGTTTACCTTTTTTTTTTCCCCCCCGTTACCTGATATGTTTGGAACCTAATTTCTTATGAGGTATTGGTTTAAGCTGATATTCGATTAGCCTTCATGTCTATGTCATGGTCATCAATCCCAAACTTCCCCCATTTTTTCCTCAAAATAGTTTTCTTCTTATTACCTGTTTGATTTCATCCATCTTGGTTCCTTCATCTTTCTCTTATGTTTGAAAAATGGGATTCTTTGTGTTTGGAGGAGGAAATACTACAAATTGTTAAACCGCAGCATTTTTTACCCATTCATGGAGAGCTTTTATTCCTTAAGGAGCATGAGCTGCTGGGCCGGTCAACAGGCATTCGACACACAACTGTGAGTATTTTCCTATCCACAATTGTGATACTTTTTGATAGGATAAGTTATGTTATGCAGAAATTGGCCTGTCAATAACATTTCTCTAAATTTACCTGTTTACCCTGGACCTATCATCACCAATATCCTTGCCAACGGACTTAAAATAATTGTTCCTGCTACAGTATCTCCGAAGTCCTTGCTGAAAGTTCATAAAAGGGAAAAAAAGGGTTTCCTGTCAGTCACCAAATTGTTGACTCTTGATTTATGTATAATCAAATTATTAACAATTAGGGAAAAAAAAAAAGAAAAACAAAAAGAAAAAGGGTATAGTCCTGACTCATGAAGTTAGAATTTGACAAGGTCTTTGGTGAGGTTGGAGTTTCTTTGACGTCATCTTGAAGCCAAAGTGTTCAGCCGATGTTGGAGGGGTTGAATTGAAGTCTTCTCTCTAATGCTTATTATTCCGTAATTTTGAACCAATTCTCCTCCTAACTCAAATGCTGCAAACACATAGTTTGCTTCTAAGAGTTTGAAAACGACGCACTAAAAGACAGTGAAATATATGCTATTTTCTTATCTGAGCTACAATGAACCAGCTGCTCTTCTCCTTCCTTGATGAAGTTGATTGGAGTCTCTTCGACATCATTCTTGAAGCTAAATCATTCAACCAATGTTGGAGGAGTTGGATTGAAGGCTTCTATCTACTGCTTGTTACTCCAAATTTTGATTCGTTCTCCTCCGGACTGAAATGCTGCAAACACCTAGTTTGGTTCTAAGAGCTTGAAAACAACTAACACTAGAAGACTTATTGAAGATATCCACCATTTGCTTATCTGAGTTACAGTAAACCAGCTGCTCTTCTTCTTCCTTTCGCATGTCTTTCAGAACAATAATACTTGATCCTAAAAAGCTTGGTTCTTGTATGAAAAAACTGGATTCAATGAAATAGCTAGAGTCGCTTGATTATCCACAAATATCTTGAAAAGACTTCGTGCACAAAGGGAGCAACTTACGCCACTGACTCCAAGTATGATAACCGACTAAAAATAACAGCAACTTCCCTAGATACAAGAACCCTGGACTGATTTAAAACAACTAAAAATAAACTTGCAGCTCGAGTTTACTGACAAAACCAAAGGGTCAAATTATGGGCAGATGGGGAACTAGGCAGGGAGATCTATTCTCCCCTTTCCTTTTCACTCTAGTTTTTAATTTGCTTTGTTGGCTTCTCTCTGAAAGCCTCGTTTTGATTCTGGTGAATAATTTTCAAGTTGGCTAAGTCAATCTAGTCTTCACCGGTAGTATGTTTATAGAATCCTCTGATTCGCTAAGTTCAATCGTTTCCGGCATATTTAACCTCTTTTTTTGAGCGTAGTATAAGTTAAAGAAATTTCACATTCTGATATGAAGGTGATTAAAAATGGAGAAATGCTTGGAGTATCTCATTTGAGAAACAGAAGAGTTTTATCCAATGGTTTCACCTCTCTCGGGAAGGAGAATTTACAGGTACACCAACCTTGATAGTTTTCTTTTCACTATAATGATGCTGTTAAGTTTTGTTCATTTCTTTATTGTGATGCCGTTGAAGTATAGTGATGGTGATAAAGCATTTGGATCCTCATCTGAGTTCTTCGTTGACGAGAGACTAAATATTGCAACAGATGGCATAATAGTGGTCAGGTAGATTTTGCGAATTTTACCTTTAGTGAAGTGGGTACATCTTCCATCTTTGTATTAATGTTCTGATTTCTTCTATATGCAGTATGGAAATCTTGCGACCTCAAAGTATAGACGGTTTAAATGAGACTGGCATCAAAGGAAAACTAAGAATCACTACTCGATGCTTATGGCTCGACAAGGGGAAGCTTTTAGATGCACTTCACAAAGCCGCTCATGCAGCACTTTCAAGTTGCCCCGTAAATTGTCCTCTAGCTCACATGGAAAGAACTGTGTCTGAACTCTCTGTGGGCATCTCTGGTTCAGAAATATGAGGTGCGTTCTCTGTTGCTTCTTCCAAACGCTCCTTCTTACCTAAGCTGAATGCATGATGGATCCAATAAATTCTGCAATTCTTATTCCTGTAAGAGAGATTGTATCGATAACTTTCTTTGTACAGCAGGATAGCAAAAGTGAAAAGACAATCAAGAAAAGTTGGCCATACTCCGAGGAAATGGACGCCATATTGTCTGATTCAGAGGCAGTAGCATCAAAATAAGAGGATTTTGAAGAAACTTGGTAATATTTATTCCATACAGCCTGGAGAAACGACCCATTTTTACATGAACATTGGCTCCTGCAGCGGAGGAATGGGCAAAAATGTATTGGGACCTGGCGAACATGACTCAAACGAAATGGAAACTCCGCAACATACGGCTTCGTTCCACGCTGAAACTGGTATACATTTTAGGGACTGTGTTTCAATTTTGTAGAAGCTTTTTTTAATTTAAGAGGCAATTTGGTTATGCTTTAAACCAAGGAAATGAGAAACCCATTATTTTGCTTGGTCTTCAATGGGCCGTTCTTTGGGCCTGGCCCTTCAACTGCGAATGACGTGGAGTTTACCGGAAGTACTTTATTTCGTGGAGAAGGCGACACGTGTTACGTGCAAATGTATTGAGGGAAGGAATAAACGTTTTAAACACTGGTTCCATGTGATGCACGGCATGACCTTTTACTTACTTTTCCTCATTTATTATCTAATTTTATATTTAAATTTAAAATGGGGAGTTTTATTTCAATAAAATTTTATTAAATAATTTAACCTATTAAACCCAAAATTAAAAGATATTATTTATTGGTAAAAAAAAGGATAGAATTCTATATTTAGGATTTTTTTTAACCCAACAAAATTTAGATAAAAATATTTTACAATGACTTTTCTTTTAATTTCTACATGTGGTTGACCACGTGGCTTTGGACTGTTCTAATGGAGTTTACATATTAGTCCTTTAAAAAGAAATAAAATAAAATCGTGTCGGCTAAAAAAGAAGTTTTTACATCCAAAAAAAAGAATATATATTTCGTCATGTCGCCGTACTAGATAAGCCTCGTCCGCAACAAAACTAAACGCGTTTTAAGAAATGTTATTATATACATCGGGGAGAAAATGAGCGTTTAGTACGTGGCAGTTGACCGTTATTTTAAAATTAAAAAAAATCCACATAATCAAAATATGAAGAGATTCCTTACCCATTTTCATTCCTTGGCGGTCTTCTTTCTTTATTTCCCCTTTTTTCTTTCCCCCTCGACATCTACTTTTTTTCTCCCTTCCTTCCTCGTTGCTTCCAAACCGCCACTCCCCAACCCTACAAATACAACCACCAATCCCAAATCCTACCAAAATCCAAATCTCAGAGAAAATTTCACGCAATTCATTTCCAACTTTTTGAATCTCGATTTGAAATGGAGATCACCAGTGCCGCACACTACGACCGCGTCTTGCGTTACTTCGATGAAGATGGCGACGGCAAAATCTCGCCCTCTGAGCTGAGGAATCGTCTCGGATTGATAGGCGGAGAGCTGCTGCCGGCGGAGGCAGAGGCGGCGGTGGAATCGCTCGACTCCGACGGCGACGGACTTCTCTGCGTCGGTGATATCGAGCGGCTACTGGACGTGGGGGAGGAAGAGAAATTGAAGGACTTGAGAGAGGCTTTTGGATTGTACGATGCTGAAGGCTGCGGGTTCATAACTCCGAAGAGCTTGAAGCGAATGCTTAAAAAATTGGGGGAAACGAAATCCACGGCGGAGTGTAAAGTGATGATTCGCCGGTTCGATTTGAACGGTGACGGTTTGATTAGCTTTGACGAGTTTCAGATCATGATGGCCTGAATGACATGTACATAATTTCGTTCGCATATTCTTTTATTTCCCTTAGCTGTTTGGACATTGATTCTTTTATTCATTCATTTCTTGAATGGGGCATTTCCTGTTCATATACAGACATTTTATTATATGAATAACATACTTTTCTTTATGCAATGCGTTATGAATAATCTTATAATATCTATCGTTTATAGTTTCATGTCATAAGAACCCAACAATATTCACACACCATGTCCCTATAATATGAAATAGGCTTGACATGTTGACAAAGTTATCCATTATATTTATCAATTATACCATATTTCTCCTGGTTGACCCAATCGGGGCCTCTTCTAATCATGACGTGCTCTACTCATTTGAGCATATCGACCCATTGGGATTCGGCACGAGATCCTACCCCAAATGACATGCTCAACTCATTCTAGAATTTGAAGTTGTAATGTTCATGTGACGACCCAAACAATGTTCATGTGAGTGCAAGTATCAATTCTTCTTAAAAATTAAATAGGAAATTATAAATGATGTATCATTTTACTCCGGACTTCTTATTTATTTTAAGGTTACATTTACTTATTCACTAATTAAGGTCCTAAAGTATATAAGTTCGGACTCTTAAAATATCTTATAGAAAGGTCGTTTCATTTTTGAGACTATCTAAAGTCAATGTATATCGTCTTCACAAATGAAACTTGAAAAATATAGTAAAAAGAGAATTTGTATTTTTTTTTTAAAACTCGGGGTTAAGTTTATTTACAATTCTATGTAGTTAAAAATCACTCGAATCTCAAACAAATGTTCTTGGTTTGAGATGGTTTGAGATATTTGATCAACAAGATAATCCGTATCTTACTTTCGATTGTGTTTCGTGGATGTAGGCAAGCCATTTAGCAACAGGTAACATGATCACCTACCTTTATATCTCCTTAGATGGCCCTCCTCCTCCTCCTGATATATATGGGAGGCTCTTACAAATGGTAGGATTGTGAGATCCTAGATTGGTTGGAGAGGGGAACGAAACATTCTTCCTAAGGGTGTGGAAACCTCTCCCCTAGCCGATGCATTTTAAAAACTTTGAGGAAAACCTCGAAAAGGAAAGCCCAAAGAAAACAACTTTACTAGCGGTGGAGTTGAGCGGTTACAACATCTAAAAGTATGTTAGCCTGATTTGAGATTTGTGTTTCTATTTCAGATTGAAGCTTCTTAAATTTAGAAGTAGAGGAAGTTATGCACCTGTTCTTCATGAGCTTCAATGTCTTGTTCTTCATCTGAATCTTCTGAGAGTTCCTGACTCTAACCCATAAGTTGAAAGCCAATAAAATAGACCATCCTTAAGTTTGAGAAAGTGAAGTGGTTCAAGACCAGGTTGTGTAGTAGGAAGAACCACTAGCTCCACCTCCACTGAACTCCGTTTCAACATTAAAAAGAGATCCTTCATTCATCAATGTATCATGATAAAATGAAATAATTCAATCTACTGCAACAAACTTCAGACCACTTTGCACATCTTGAAACTAGAGATATGAACGACAAGAACTGATAAAACAACAAAAGCCATACCTGAAAGTGGCTAAGTGATCAGATCACATCAGATCAGATCCCTTGGCCTTGCACGCTGGTACATATCACAAACACATAAAAGGAGATACAAGTTGATGATAAATAATAAGACAGTTCTTCCAACGGTAGCTCTGAATTCGGAATGGTGTCAAATCATTCCAGTTGTGATTTGAAATCTTTATTATTTTTTTTTTTGAAAAAAATAAAATCTCCAACTCCTACACTAGCTCATGTGTTCATATGCAAATGCCTCTCCCTACGCGACTTCGTAGCCATTGATGGTTTCTTCTATATTCAAGAAGACTCAATGCCATTCAATCAAGGTTAATTTTTCATAAACCAAAAAGTAAAAAACCTTGAAATTTTGAAAAACAAGTGGCGGAGAGGTTCAAGCCTGTGTTTCTGAGAAGCAAGAAGAAGAAATAAGACTAACCGGCGTTGTTGATCTTGATCTTCCACCAAGAACACTAAACCCTATCGAGGGGTTCAAGCCTTCAAGGATTTGGGGTTTACCAAAAAACACCTCCACTGTTTTGGGCTGGATGGGCTTTTTCTATGGCCTTCTACGGTCCGCAACATCGGTCCGGTTTTCCATTTTTAAAGAGTCCGGTTGGATGAAATAAGGAAATGGGTGTTTTTGTTGGGAATAAGAAATAATTCTGTGGTATACAGAACGGTTTGGTTTTTTATTAAAACAAAACCAAATTGATTCCCCCATCTCCGAGAACCTAATTTTAAAATAACCGAATCAAACTGGCCGGTTCATTTAGTTGAGCCTTTGCACGCATTCAAAGATTAGGGGTATTTACGTAACTTCGTTCGCATCGAATAGATCCGTCGTAGATTTAATGGCGGAATGAAGAGAGTTGGAAAGGAGAGGACCTCCTCATTGCCGGATTCACAGCACGGACAGAGAAATCAGTTAGCAAAAGCAACGGGAGAAACTACCGGTTAGAATTTTTTTCAGGTCTTCGTTTTCCTATGTAATTTCTCATCTGTTTATGCTAAATGTTGCTTTAAATTTCTCATAAACGGTTTAGGAAGAAATTGATACTTCAAATCCTTCTGTAGCATACTAGTTCTAAAGTTCATACTTGCTCATTATCCGTGATTGAAGCCCGCTTCGAAATTTAGGACTTGAAATTCTTGAACGGGAAAGTGGGGGACGAAACTCTTTAGATTTCATCCGAGTATTTTCGTGGTTTTGGATTCGTTGAATTTTTTGCTGCTGTAAATAGTCAGGCGAGTTTGAATTTCTTGTGAGGAAATTTTCGCTTCGAGTGCTGTCTCAATGAGTTTAATTTCTGGGTGGTGAATTTGAGTTCGAGACTCTGTTGCTGGCTCGTGGTTTTGAATGGAGTAATTTGCTCCACATACCCCCACACACTCGAGGATTTTGGCTGTATGAGTTAGCGATGTCTGTGAATAACAACAACAATGCTAATAGTAACAGTGTGGTGAGGAATATTGGGGGAACTATGCCGGTGAATAACAGCCCTAGTAGTAACAATTTGGGGAGGAATATTGGGGCAGCCTCGCATTTTGGGAATTCTGGCATGGTTCAGCAAGCAAGGCCAATGAATCATCATTCTCAGTCACAGTCTCAAATGCACGGCGGGACGCATTTTTCGGGTCATTTTCAGTTGTCCGAGCCGCAGTCGCGTATAATGTCTCAGGTACAGTATACGCAGGCTCATGCACAGGCACAAGCTCAATCTACTCATGCACAGTTTCAAGCTCATACTCAACCTGTTCAGCTGCATAGTGCTAAGGCTAGTAATGTTACTATAACACCCTCTGTGTCAACACCTGGGACAGGGAGTTCTAAGAGGCCTACGCAGAAGCCACCTTCTAGGCCTCCAGGATCTTCTAACAGTAGCGCTAGTTCACCTTTTAAAACCATGGAGTTAACTCCAGCTGCTAGAAGAAAAAAGGCTAAGCTTCCTGAGAAACAAATACCCGATAAAGTTGCTGCTCTTCTGCCAGAATCTGCCATCTATACCCGACTGCTCGAAGTTGAGGGTCGGATAGATGCTGCTCTGGCAAGAAAGAAAAATGATATTCAAGAGTCTTTAAAGAATCCTTCACGCATTCAGAAGACCCTACGGATCTATGTCTTCAATACGTTTGAAAATCAGAATCAAAATAGTTCTGATCAGAAGAATGTAGAATCCCCTTCTTGGTCGCTTAAGATAACTGGGAGGATCTTGGAAGATGGAAAAGATCCCGCTATAGCTGGAGACATGCAGAATTATAATTCTACTTACCCAAAATTTTCATCTTTCTTCAAGAAAATCACTATATACTTAGACCAGAGCCTTTATCCAGATAACCACATAATTTTATGGGAGAGTTCTCGTTCTCCTGTTCTGCAAGAGGGATTTGAAGTGAAGAGAAAAGGAGATAAAGAATTTACTGCAGTGATAAGATTGGACATGAATTACACGCCTGAAAAATATCGTCTTTCACCTGCTTTATCAGATGTGCTTGGACTCGAAACAGACACCCGCTCAAGAATTATGGCTGCACTATGGCATTATGTTAAAGCTAACAAGTTGCAGAATTCAAATGATCCTTCTTTCTTCACATGTGATCCAGGTCTACGAAAAGTGTTCGGTGACGAGAAGGTCAAGTTTTCTACGGTATCTCAGAAGATATCGCAACATTTAATTCCTCCGCCACCTATAAACTTACAACATAGAGTTAAGATTTCGGGAAATTCTCCTGTTGGAACTACATGTTATGATGTCGTGGTGGATGTACCGTTTCCAATAGAAAAGCAAATGTCAGCATTCTTGGCAAACCTGGAGAAGCATAAAGATATAGATTCCTGTGATGAATTGATTACTACTGCAGTAAAGAAGATTCAGGAGCACTATCAGAGGAGAACTTTCTTTCTTGGCTTCAGTCAGTCTCCAGCAGAGTTTATCAATACTTTGATATCTTCTCAAACTAAGGATTTAAGGATCGTTGCTGGTGATGCTAGCCGTCTTGCAGAGAAAGAACGTCACTCTAATTTTTACAGTCAATCCTGGTGAGCATAAGTTATTTCTTGTTTCTACCCTCCTTTCTTGTTTGTTTACTCTTATATGTACTTAGAGATCATGCATTGAAATCATGTGATGAATGTTTTTATCCCAAATCAGTTCTACATCTTTGTCAAACATCAATATTCTAAAATTCTAGTGATTTTGGCAATGTTTATCAAAATTATGGTGCTTTTTAATTACTGCCAGTGGCAACAATGCCCATTTGATGAATGCTATTTGTGTCTTTTTTTGGTATTCTATTTTCTTTTCGTATACTGGCTAGAGTGACCTGCTTGACTGGATGCCATTTGTGTCCTGCTCATCAAATTACTGCATAATGGAGTAATATGCACAGATATCTCACATGACAAACTTTTTTAAATGAATGTTTTAATTAGTCGACGAAAATGTGTTGCATCAGGTTGGAGGATGCTGTGTTTCGGTACCTGAACCGCAAACCTGCTGGAAGTGATGTTCCTGGAAGCGCTTAAAGATCCAAACATTGAATTCGGTGACATCTGTTCTTATATATATCGCCTTTATTACTTTAGGGGACTGAGTATCTGGAAA